GACGTTGATTATTATTGTTGTTATTAACATTAGCGCGATTCCATGGTCGATGTTGAGAACGAGAACGAGATTGTTGTCGGTTATTAGGTCTGGATTTAGAACGATGGCGAGAAGCATTGGTACGGCTTTGTTCATCATTATTGTTATCAGGGCGGGCAAAACGGTTATGTCGTTTAGCAGGATGAGAAGGAGGTAGATGCTTTTTATATAAAGCACGTATTTTATCTTTAGATTGCCAAGGGCGAGAAGTGCGATTAGGTCTAGATGAAGAACCACATTGATCAGGGTTACAATTAGGGCGACCACATCGATGACAAAGAGAAGTGACTTCATCCGGAGAATGCCAGGTAAGGCCAACTTTCTTAAGGGCACATGAGATAGATTTAGCATTTTCCATAGCAGTTTCAGAGGCAAAATGGCAATAGGCGTAGGGTTTGGGATTGTATGAATTCATAGAGAAGGGAACATTGATAGATTTAGCGGAAACTTCATCGGCAATTTCAGCAAGATCGACCGCTATAGTACCACGCGGGAGACCGGCAAGTAAAGCAACATAAGCGCGTCTTTCAGCGCGTTGTTCAGGAGAGAAAGAAGCGGGGCAAATTCGTAAACAATGTCCTCCACAAAGGACGCCCCAGGTAGAGTCGAGGTTCTGTAAAGCACCAGGAGATTCAAAGGTAATGTATGCAGTACGATAAAGTTTAGACAAACGGGTATGGCAACGAGTAATATTGCCGTAACGAGAAAAGGTACCACGCAAAAGAGCGTCAGTTAGAAAAAGGGGGATATCGGTAACCACCAGGGTACGCGCGTGTTCATCAGCTTTAATAGCCTGGGGGTCATATGCATGAAAATGCAAGCCAAACAAAGAATCCATAGGGGAGGCTGTGGCTTTGTCAAGATCTTCCTTTTTTCGGAATTGTACGATGATCCTCTTCAAATCGTTGGATCCACTACACGTGGCACGACTACCATAAGAGGAGAACAAGGAAAGTTGTCGATCAACCGCGTCGCACGCGTCGCGGTTCGAAGCGAAGTGAGTCCAAAAGCCATCGACATCATTAAGAGCGGCCGAGGCGTAGAAAAGAGTAGGTTGAGATTGTACTGCAGCTTGGGACGCGTCCGGAGAGGCAGCACGTTCAGGGAAAGAGACTGCGGGAGTAATTTCAGGGCTTTTGCCTTTATCGTTATTATTAGCAGGTGCGTGCTGAGAAGCGTCAAGAGAGGAGGTAGCAGGTTGAGAAGGTATCTCAGCGGAAGTTGTCTCAACAGGGCCAGAAGGCGTGAGAGGTTTATCAACATCCATGACAGAGTCATCAGCACTGACTCTGGTACGTTTATTAGTAGAGGTGGTCGAAGGTGGAGTGTTCGAAGGGCTAGACATAGAGGAACCTTGACCAGAAACGTTGCCAGTTGGAGAGCTAGAGGCAGGACGTTTAGAAGTAGTATCGTTGTTAGACTTTTTATTTTTCTTCTTGTTGTCTGTAGTCATTTTATAGAGTGTCGTAGTTATCTAAAATAAAGAAAATATAAAGAAAAAGTAATAAAAAACTCCGAAAAAATTTTTTATTTTTTCGTAAATATTGTCAAGTGAGCAGAACGGGAGAGAGTTAGTTTTAGTTTTATCCTTTTATGCTGTGCAAACAGTCTTATGACTTTATCTTTTATTTATACTTTGAACTTCGAAAAATAATCGAACAATATTACAAAAATAAGAAAATAAACTAATAAAAAATAAAAAAGAGTAGCTTCACGACTCATACAAGTAAAGAAATCTAAACTAAAATAAAATTAAAGCAAAGAAAAACTGAACTATTACAGAATCGCATACCCCAACTTTACCCGAAGGCCAGTGTGAGTCAACTATCCAACATCCAAAAATCCAGTCCGTTACCAGAAAGAAATCCTAAGAGGTTGAACTGTTAAGCGGCGCAGAAAATCCAAGTGCGAGATCCAAGATCCACCCCGAATTATAGAAGAGGATATCCAAGAAATCCAGGAATCCTGAGAAACTGACGCCAAAGAAGAGTTGTGTTG